ATGTCGTCCTTCTCTGTTGTTGGGATTGTCTGCACGGCGTCATATTCGAGAGGCGCCAGAAGATCGATGGTGACAAGATGGGTGGCACGCAGGGAGAAGCTTGTCGGCCAGCTGCGGGGCGTAGGCTCCGAGGAGGTGCACAGGCTGTGGGAGCTCGTGGAGGACTTGGTCGGCTCCGTTGCGCACGGGAAAAGAATCTTGTCGGCGGCTGCGCACGCGGGGAGGACTTCGCTGGCTCCGACACTCTTGGGAGGAGAAGCTCATCGGGGGCTACGCACACGGGGGGAAGCTCGCCGGCTGTCGCACACACGGGATGGACTTGGCTGGCTGCACGCGCGGTTCCAATCCTTCCTCCCGCTCCTCTCCCACCCCTCCCCCTCTCTTCAGTGCCCATCTCCTTTCCGCTGACGCCGTTTTCGCCCCACGCGTTGCCACCTTCACTACTGCCGCCTGGTCGCTCGCTCCAGCGCTGCCACCTTCACCGCCGATGCCGCCCCACGTGCCCACTTCACTGTCATCGTGCTGGCAAGGCTAGTCGCTGCCACTGCCTATAGAGGGAGAGAGAGGGGTGAGGAAAAAGAAAATGAGATTAGGATGGCTGACCTGTGGGGCTATTAATTTTCTATTTTTTCTCACTGATATGTGGATCCTATGAGCGCCACGTAGGATGAAACCGCTTTTGAAACCAAGGAATCGATTTACACCGGTTTTTAGAGATGGAGGATGTGTTATACCCGGTTTTGTGGTTAAAGGATACGATTCAACTAGGGTCAAGAGATGAGGGATGTAGAATAGACTTATTCCTTGTATGGCCGTGTGCCGTGACCATGGAGGAATCCGGTAAGAGAGGCTGAGTGGTTGGCGTCATTGGGCTAGTGCCCGCTCTTGAACACCGCCGGCCCGTCTCTCGCGCATAGCCATCTCGGTGATTTCGTCATCGCTACCGTCATCCCTCAAAGCTCCATTGAGCAGCGGCAACAAGCATCGGCCACCAGAGCGAGAGGAGGAAGACAAGAGGAGCAGCTGTGTCACTCGAATCATCAGGAGCAACGACGACCTTCTGCTACTTTTGCCACAAGTGGTACTCTCCCCGTCTTAAAATATAAGTATTTTTAAATTTAGCATAGACTTCGAAATACTACTTTGATCCACAGTATCTTTAAAAGTAAGATTCTTGAATAAAAAGAGTTGCATATTATGATAGTTTGTTCTAAAATATAAGTATTTTTAAATTTGGCATAGACTTCGAAATACGACTTCGATCAACAATATCTCTAAAAGTAAGATTCTTGAATAAAAAGAGTTGTATATTATGATAGTTTGTTTAACGATTAATCCAGTAACATCAATTTTACACGCTCGATCTTTTTTATTTTTTATATTAATAGTTAAAGTTAAAAATGCTTAACTTGACACTATTATCAAGATACTTATATTTTGAGAAAGAGGGAGTACTCCCTCTGTCTCAAAAAACTCAATTCCTGAGTTTTTGTGTTTAACGTTTGACTGTCCGTCTTATATGAAATTTTTTTATAATTAGTATTTTCATTGTTGTTAGATGATAAATCATGAATAATATTTTATGTGTGATTTATCTTTTTAATTTTTTTTATAATATTTTCAAATAAGACGGACGGTCAAACGTTAGACACGAAAACCTATAAATTGAGTCTTTTTGGGACGGAGAGAGTAATATTTACTCCATCCGTCCCAAAATATAACAATTTCTTCATCAACATTCTCTTCTAAACCAATCACAACCATCCACCATTCACTTTTCTCACCTATCTTCACTTCTGATCCAATCACAACCCTCTAGCATTCACTTCTACTTACTTTCTTAATAACAGTATTCAACTCTAAAACTTCTTATATTCTGGGATGGAGGGAGTATTTAGTACTGGCAGGATTTCCTCACACCATTCGTCAATGCTCTTACTTTCTCTCCGATCCTTTTTTTCATAAATACAATACAACCGTCGATGCTCACAACGTGCATATACTTATCCTGGGAACGTGTACACGGTACATTAATCGTACCCCTATAAACACCTCACCGATTACTGTAGTAGCGCGTCCCACCACATAAATCATGTGTAATACGTGACTACTAGTTGACACGAGACTCTGCCCCGGCCGCTTAGCTTGGTCCTCAACGAGTCCGTGTTTTCATTTTTTGCCAGCGCGGTTTTGAAGAACTTTGCAGATGAAGTTTGGTCCCAACCCAACTGTGAGTCGTCCAAGGTCCTTATCCTACGCGTCCACCCGATCGAACCGTACAGAGTTCAGGTACCATTATTCTACCTCTACGGCCGACCAAAACACGGTCCCCATCTCGAAATTCAGACACCGGATATGTACGCAAGTGTGCATGCATACACTTATCTCTCTTACATAGTCGCTCCGTTCCATTTTAAATACAATCGTGAATTTCTGTGTCCAACGTTAGATCGTTCGTCTTATTTAAAAAATTTATAAAAAAATAAAAAAATAAGTCACTCATAAAGTACTATTTATATTTTATCATCTAATAATAATAAAAATATTAATCATAACAAAAAAAAATTAAATAAGACAACGATCAAACATTGGACACGGAAACCAATAATTACACTTGAAATAGGATGGATGGAGTATTATCTAAATGATTCAAATATTTTTCTTTATAAATTTAATATCATAGACTACAATGCTTTTTTATCACATCATAAATATGTAGTGCTGAAGAAAGCAAATGTTGCCAACTGTTTTGAATTTTTTTTACACCCTCTGTTTTATAGTATTTGTTACTTTTGACTAGCTCTGTTTTGCTCTGTCCAGAAATAACTTTAAATAATTTCACAATTTAAAAACATAGCAAATTAATTATGTTTTATGGTACATAAAAACATACAAATTAAGGTTATTTCCGTCAAACAATTTAAAATTAACTCACTCTATTCGTTTTTCTAATATACGTCACCCCCATATTCTTAATATGCATGTGACCATTTATCCTTAAAAAAATTACATAATTATCATTTATTTTCTTGTAATTTGTAGGTTGTGTCAACAAAATTAATAAATAATGTCAAACTGAGAGAGTAACTATTTGATAATCAATATTCGAGGGGCGAGGAACAAACGAGTGCAAATATATGACAACTGTAAAATTCACTGGTGAACCAATCCAATCCATTTCCTATCTATTACTAACTTACCAACCACACTATCCCGTTCCTAAAGAAAACGTGGTCATTTCATATCTCTCATGCCAAATAGATAGGTGGGATCATCTCATACCAAAAAAAAGCAATGAACTTAACCCATTCCACCTCATCCAATCCACAAACAGAGCACATTATTAATGTTTAAATTAGTGTCAGCCCAAATTGATGAATAATGTAAAACTAGGGTAGTAGCTATTTGATAATCAATATTCGAGAGCGAGCAACAACCGAGTGGGCATATACCACGTCCGTTTTTTAATAGATGACGCCGTTGACTTTTTTTTAGAATAACATAGTACAAAGCAGACACTCACAACGCACGCGTACTCACCCCTATGAACACACGCACGCAAACCCTATCCCTATGAGCATCTTCAAAGACTGGGCCGGCAAATCCTGGAGAAATTGACGAAGTCACCACAGGCGCCTCGCTGTCGACGGGTACGTCGCCTACCACAAAAAGCACAACGCCGTTAAATCCTGAAAAATTCGCTCCCATGGGGAGTCGAACCCAGGACCTCATGACGCCGTTGACTTTTGAACACATGATTGACCACTTATTTTATTAAAAAAAATTATACAAATGTATAACATATAAATCATGCTTAAAATATTCTGAGTGATAAAACAACCCGCAACAAAATAAATTATAATTACGTAAATATTTTTTGAATAAGACGAACGATTAAACGTGAGAAAATAATTAATGGCATCATTTATCAAAAACGGAGGAAATATATGACAATTGTAAAATCCAACTCCTTAATAGGGAAATCCAATTTGTGCTAGGATGATAAAGACATTGTAGCTATATTTATGACGCCATATTGTTTACCAAATAATATTCGGCATGTATTTACGCTGTAAGTTCCTAAATTACATATGTAATTTTAGTGTATTTACAATATAAGTTTCAAAATTACATATGTAAATTTTAAAATTATATATATAAGTTCCAAAATTACATATGTAATTAGTATGTAATTACATGAATTTGGTACATGAAGTTGGTACTTCAGGGTGTGTTTTAGTTCACGTCAAAATTAGAAGTTTGGTTGAAATTGGAACGATGTGACGAAAAAGTTGAAAGTTTGTGTGTAGGAAAGTTTTGATGTGATGAAAAAGTTAAAAGTTCGAAGAAAAATTTTGAAACTTAACTCGGCCCTAGTTTGATGTTCAGCGGATCACGAGTTCGATCCATCAGTCTGCACCCGTGGGAAATTTTTTTTTACACTCCATCGGCACGCATCGTAAAGCACATTGGATAGTCTAAAAATTGCAAGTTTTCTGACCGAATTTCTGCCACAGAAATTTAGACCTTGTTTAGTTTGTGAAAAGAAAATTTCTGGGTGTCACATTGAACATTTGACCGAATGTCGAAAGGAGTTTTCGGACATGAATAAAAAAATAATTTTATAACTCGCATGGAAACCGCGAGACGAATTTATTAAACCTAATTAATCCGCTATCAGCACATATAGGTTACTGTAGCATTTATAGCTAATTATGGACTAATTAGGCTTAAAAGATTCATCTCGCGATTTCTATACAAACTGTGCAATTAGTTTTTTATTTTATCTATATTTAATGTTTTATGTATGTGTTTAAAGATTAGATGTAATGTTTTTGGGAAACAATTAGCGATTCCGAAGACATTCTAGGATGGAGCACTGTGCCCAAGTCGTTTTCAGGTAGTCTACGTGGTCTTCCCCCGCATGTCCATACCACTAGTAAAAAAAAGGCACACATCAGATTCAGACGTTAGTACAATTCAGCTAGGGCACGCACACGTCACTGCCTACGTGGTAATTTTACACACCCATCCTTATATATAGATCTCATGCATGCAAGCTCACTCGACCGAGCTAGTTATCAACGTGCGAGTTGCGACGTACGAGGTTCGACGACGACCCGCGTAGCCAGCTAGCTCTAGCTGCCGGCCATGTCGTCGTCGTCTTCGGCGACGACGACGAAGTATAGGGGAGTGCGGCTGCGCAAGTGGGGGAAGTGGGTGTCGGAGATCCGGCTGCCCAACAGCCGCGAGAGGATATGGCTGGGATCCTACGACACGCCCGAGGAGGCGGCGCGGGCGTTCGACGCCGCGTTCGTCTGCCTCCGCGGCGGCGGCGAGGCCGCCGGGAACGGGATCAACTTCCCCGGCTCGCCCCCTGCCGTGGCGCGCACCAGCGACCCGCAGGAGGTGTACGCGGCCGCGGTGTCGCATGCCAACAACCGGCCGCCGCCGCCGCCGTCGGCCCGAGCAACGTCGTCTGCACTTCCATGGGAGGAAGCTCCGGTGGTGGCGGCTCAGGAGGCGGCGGCGGACATGGCGCCCGACGTGGTGGTGCTGCCATCGTCGCCGGTGAATGTGCTGGCAGCAGCTGGGAGCTTCGAATATTGGTCGCAACAACCACTCTACTCGCCGACGGCAGCAAGCCTCGATTTGCAGAGGTGGATGACGGCGGCGGCGGCGGCCGAGGAATCAATAATGGAGGATGACGACGACGAAGGAACAAGTGATGGTCTTTGGAGTTTCCACTACTCACCGACTCGTTCCAAGTGGTAATTAACGAGCTTAATTAGGATGCTCGTGTGATCTGGCGTCCAACTGAGGAGCTTAATTAATTTTGCACAATATATGCCACGCATCTTGTAACGTAGGAAATGCACATTGTTTAGGATATATCTTTTTCGTACAAAAATGAACTTTCAAAACTGTGTTTATACATTTAAAATTGATACATAAAAATGCTGGCTGTATGTAGATTTATCTTCTAAATTAATCTAATTCCATGTAATTTTTTTTCTAAAATGTTTTTCATGAGGTAATGCAGCTACTGAGGTCCCGTTCGTTTCTTATGTAACACGTGGATGAAAATTTAGATTTTTGTGGGCTGTACACGGTGGCGGTTGTGGCGTTCACAAGCCTGCACATGGCGGGGTTCGGGTGGTGGTGTGGCCCGGTAGAGGAGGACGAATAAGAAAGAAGATTGCTGTTTCACTTACAAATGGATCCCATGTGTCTTTTTAATTTTTTTCTATTTGTGTTTATTGTGCCACGTTATCTAGAACCGTCTTCAATATTGTCTTAGGACTAGAAAAAATATCCGTGCGTTGCAACGGGAAGAAAAGATGAGAAAATTAAGGAGAAATTGAGAAAGATTTACATTATGTAATTAACTTAAATACAAATTTCCTGTAATAGTTGATATTTTTTTAAGTAGGTAGGTGTTTAAATTAATTTAAAAGTAAACTAAGTGTGGAAATAAAATGATATGGCTGGATTTAATTTTTATGAAGTTCTCCATGATTAATTACACTCTAGAATTTTCTTGAAATTTTTAGAGCTCAGTTGCTAATTTTAATAATACAAACATTATTTCAGCATTTATTTAAACAAAAATCTAAATAAAAACTCTCCTTTCTCTCTGTGCCATCAGCCTGCAGCCGAGCCGGCCCACTTTTCTCCCTTCTCCTCCCCTCCACCTTGGCCCGCAAGTACGCATCCAGCCCGCAAGGCACTACAAGTCTAATCAGCTTCCCCAGCTCCTTCTTTCATGGCTACATGGCCGTCTCCTACCTCCGTATGTATTGCCGCATCTGCCCGACGACGCCTGAATCTGACTCCTCCGTAAAATCCGGCCACATCCTTGGAGATAATCCGAAATTAACTGATGGGTTTTAATCCTTATCTTCTCCTCTTTCTGTTTTCCCAAGAATCAAAGCAAAACCACGTCGTATAGATATCGGAAGTGAAACCATAGTTTTTTTTAGTCTAAGTCAGTTTCTCTTAAAAACTGCGCACGCACGCGCGAGAGGCGAGGGAACCAGACCATATGGACGAAAAAAGAAGTGTGACGAAAGGAAAAATACGAATATTTTAATTAAGTTAAGATTAAGATAAGATATATTATTATTAGGTAGGTATAGATGTACTATGGGGTGTTCTTGTGGTGTACGTATTAGGGCGTGATCTAAGCGTAGTGGACCTGAACATGACATGGGCTATTTTCTAGGGGAAACGTGACATGGGCCTAAAAAGATCTATAAGGGAATAGGAAATCATGGAGCTATCAAGGAGGAATCGGACAGAAAAAATCGCACACTACATGTGGAGGGAATCGGATTAAAAAATCGCAACAATCGCGCTATATACGGTAGGGAATCGGACTCAAAAATCACTCGGGACGACGTATGGAAATTCATGGGCAAAAACATCTTAAACTTTTATAATAGGAAAAGATTATATTTACACCGGTTTTAAAAGATAAATGATGCTTTGTAACTAATTTTGAGATTTAGGAATGCGATTCAAACTCCGACATCAAGAGACCTTAAGTGAATTTATTCCATTGATGTACTTACAAGAGATGGACCAAATTAGGCATTAATTTTTGGAAAATAAGTTTACTTTAGATCCCTTAAGTTGTCACCGAATTCTAAATTCATCAATGGATTGCAAAACCGGATACTACGCATCCCCTAACTTACAACCAATGCAAATGAGGTTCCTTGGCAGTATTGCACTCGGTTTTAGCTGACGTGGCTCCTTTGACTAGGTATTCGTCGCACATGGCATTAACGCGACGCTTATGTAACAATTCGATCCAAATAATAATAATAATAATAAAACTCATATGGTCCACATATCACTTACACAAAAAAAAAATAAAAAAATTGTGGTGCCCATGTGATTCCACGTATCATCCTCACTACTACCTCTTCTCTCTATCCTCTCTCTCTCCCCTGCATGTTGCTGTACACGTTGGTCTGGATGATGTAGGAGTAGGACTCACCCGTCCGGTTGCCCAGGAACTCGAAGTCCAGCTCGTCGCGCTGCGGCGCCGTGTCCACGTAGGAGCACATCTGCAACCACCGAACATGTACCTGTCCTTCGTCTGGAACCCGACGCCGCCTGAACAAAAAACCAAGAAACAGGGGAGCATCAGCACTAGGCATTGCCGGAGCTAGCTTGTTCGAATCAGAGCAGCTGCATGCGAGATCACTCTCACTCACCGGTCTTTTGTTGTCGAGGTAGAGGTACCACGTCTAGCCATCGGCGGAGGTCTTGACGTAATCCTCGATCGGCTCCGCCGCAGACGCCCCACTAAAGCAGCAGAAGCAGCAGCAGCAGCACACATCAACAACGATCGTCGCCACCATCAACGTACCCACCAACCCACGGCCGCATCCCCCGTGACCCCGGGGTTCACGAAGCGGAGCGGGCGGCGGTGGACGCCGTCGTAGTTGGTGACGACGTAGAGCGCGGGTCGTCGCCGTCGCGCTCCACCCGCTTCTTGACGCCGCGCACCCCGCCGCCGAGCACCGGTAGTAATTCCTCGCGTTCGGTTGAACTCCGACCTCGTCCTGACTCCTGAGCCCAATCCTGCTCGTCGTCGCTGAGGACATACCATGCCGGTCGTTATTCCCGCTGGCCATCACCACCGGCGGCGGCTGCTGCCCCGCCGCTCCGCCATCACAACTGATCATTCGTCTTATTCAAGATTTTTCGTGTAAATATAAAAATATTTAAATCATGAAGTTTTGATGATAAATTAAATCACAATAAAATAAGTAATAATTACATTTTCTTAATAAGAACGTATCTAAAAAGTCAATAATTATCGTCATACAGAGTATATATATCAGATCCACCAAATATGCCACAACCATTTATCCCTGTTTAATTGAAGAACTTGTCAATATGCTTTTATCAACCATGCATATATATTAACAATTACTCCGTAACTTCAAAGTTCGAACTAATAACTAAATAACGAACCACTTTCTTGATGTCCTCCAAATATGTCACACTATCATCTGCTGGCAATTACTTGATCAGTCATCACGTTCCAAATGTTTTTTTTCGCCGGTCAAGTTCTGAATGCTACGTACGGAAAAGAACACGTACTAATAGAAAGCGCGCTTCCAAAGTTGCACACAAGAAAATTTTGTTTTGTTGTTATTTTTATGGAAGGAAAAAACTGTAGGTGAGTATATCCTACAGCGTAAAACCAAAAATATATTAAAAGAAACAAAATTTACACTGTACAATAAAAATAAGTAACAAATTCTGCAGTCGTTGTTGCATTTGGGGCATTGTATTATCTTTTGCTCTATGGATAACCATGGCAAATTCCTTTTTGAAAAGGTCCAAGCAAACTTGGACGAAGTAAGGTGAGATGTTTTTGAAGATCTTATCATTTCGTGTGATCCAAATGCTCCAAGCCATAATGATTATTATCTCCATGTGAAAGGACACTTGGAGTTTTTCTTGCAGATCTTCAATGGCCTCTTGGACTGAGAGTCCCATTCTTCTTGTGGGGAAAATTTTGTTCCAGCATAGTGTGCAAAAGGACAAGTGAGAAAGAGATGTTGCTGAGTTTCTTCCATTCCCAAGTTGCAGATGTGAAATGAGATGCGTGGGAAGCGTTGAACGTCTCTCGAGGCCACACCTTTGTTAATATAGATGGGAACAGCCCCCATTGTGGCGTTTACAATAGATCGATCTCAATCTCAGTTGTTGCTAATCAACCGGAGAGAAACCGTGTACAGGAGAAAGGATAGGAACAAACTCTAATGACTTATCTCCTATACATCGGGAACTACTTTATCTAACACCCTCTCTCAATCACAACCTTCCTAGGTTGAGATTGTATTTGAAGTTTTCTGGAAGTCGTTCTGACAATGGTTTAGTAAAACCATTTGCAACTTGATCTTTAGTACATAACCAACTTGCAATAATTTTTGTGCTACTCTCTCTCGAACAAAATGGTAATCAGTTGCTATATGTTTAGTTCTTGCATGAAAGACATGATTGAAGGATAAGTACCTTGCACCCATGTTGTCACACCATAGTTGAGCGGGACAGAGTGCTTGTGAAGCTTGGTGCTGCAGAGGAGAAGACTGTTGGTGGGATTCTGCTTCCGTCAACCGCACAGTCTAAGCCTCAGGGAGGTGAGGTTGTTGCTGTTGGAGAGGGAAGAACTATTGGGGATAAGAAAGTTGAGGTCAGCTTGCAGGTAAAGTTCTTCTCACAATGAGATTGCAAGTGTACCTGTATGATGTCTAGTACTACATTTCTTACCCCATAGCTCGGTTGTGAGTTGCAAGTAGCAGTGACACGGCAATTTACTTGTTGGTTGTTGCCAACTAAATTTAAAAGCATATTGTGTGTGATGCCTTATCAAGAATGCGATGTTAATGGTGTACGGGGTCTGTGAGGCTGAAGTTTCTATGGCACAAAACTCATGTGAAACCAACAGAGGTTTCTCATGATTGCTTTATGACTGTTGTTCAGAGTATGCAACACTGATATATTTTGATTGTTAGTTTCTGGTTTGGTTAAACATATGAATCCACGTAAGGAGTATCCTTTGGCAATGGGCAAATATGTATGAGCATTTGCTTAATTTTGTCATCCATACAAATAGATGTTGTTAGTCTTTCATAGCACTAGGAGAGTAGGAGGTGGTGCATATGACCCGGGTTTGAGAAACAACAGAAAACCGGGAAAAAAGAATCGCTCAACCCTTTTTTTTTAAAGGACTGGTTCACTCCCTCATGTTGGTATTACTAGCAACTTCCATGGAGAACATTTATTTAGTTAGTGCCTGGTTTACAAGTCCAAACCCATGATGTTTTGGCATCTCCATCCCTCAACTAGATTCACTAATGTACATATGAATTTGGACACATATATGAAGCACATACATGAATCTATTCAAAACTCAAAACGTCTTATAATGTGAAACAAAGAAAGTAACTAGGTAAAGCGGCTTCTGAGGTAATGCTGTGTGACTTGTTTGTTTATAGTTATCTTGTTGAACAGGGTACAATTTGTTCTGACTGATGGGCGAAAAAGGCTTTCAATCTCTGTTTTTTTTTCTTAGATGCACCTTGCAACTTTATCTTGGTTCCTGCATGACAATAATTGTTTGGGTTCATCATCTTGTCTACTGGAAATGTCTCTAAGATAAGGTTTAGATTGGTGAAAAATTTACTGATAGTGATGCTTGTTACAGGACCTTAGATTGGTGAAAAATTTACTGATAGTGACTCTTGTTACAGGACCTTGGTTATTTTCATTTGTTGTGTAACTAGTTTTCACTTAACTTGAATTTCTGCAAGGAGATACTACATTAGTAAACTTAATTTAGACAATCATAGCGATTGGCACTACAGAGAGCCTACTGTTGAATTTCAGTGCAGCAATTGTGCTATATATTACCTGATGAACTTGGTGCAATAAGATGTTAAAGTGCCAATCTGCCAATTTGTTCTGTTGCTTTTATGTTGTGGTTTACTGCTTATGCCTTCTAATGGCAGTATTAAGTGATTTATATTGTTCTGTAGATTGGGGCTGAAGTTGTATATTCAAAATATGCTGGGACTGAGGTGCAATTTAACGACACCAAACATCTTATTCTAAAAGAGGATGATATCATTGGTGTTCTTGAGACTGATGATGTCAAAGATATGAAGCCCCTTAATGACCGGGTTCTCATCAAGGTATCCATATGTTATTGTTATTGCTTCTTAAGATAGTTGCCAGTAGGGTTATGGTTTATAGGTAATGAAATTGGAGAATGTTGAATAAATTGTACATCTTGCCGTTGTACTTCCTAGACAACCTTTGGTAATGATTCCCTGCTTTTGTAAATTTGACAGGTTGCTGAGGCTGAAGACAAAACTGCTGGTGGCCTTATTCTCACTGAAACCACTAAGGAGAAGCCATCAATCGGAACAGTAAGTTCTTACCATTGTCTCTTTAAGCCTTGTTATTGTTATTCTATTGCTGTGAACCTAGATTGTTGGGCTATATGCAAAGATTTGTGCATGTACTGAGCCAAGCGAGAAAATGGACATTTAGCCACTTTCAAGAAGTGGTTTCGCTGAAATGCCATTCCGAAAACGCGTTTCGCTAAAATGCCAATATGTAGCGTGCACTCACCGCCACTTGCCATTTTGGCCATTTTGTGCATTTTCAATTGCATTTTCGCTGGAATGTGGCTTGATGGGACCAAATTGCCCTTGCTCGCCGGTTGAAAGGGGATCGATCCAGTTCATGGGAGGAAAGAGGACGAGTGCGGCGAGGTAGTCTGCGTGGCCAAAATGGAGGAGGCGGTGAGCGAACGCATGGCGGCGGCGGTGATGACGGCGACACGGGCATGGCGACGCCGCAGCGAAGGGAGACGCACGGCCTCCACGCCGTCGCGGACGACGCCCTGTCCGCTGACGAAGAAGCTGACGACAGACGGCCATGACCATCTCCAGGATGCCGAACCCCCACCCTCACCAGCGCGCCGATGTCGATGGCCAGGATGCTTGACGAGGTGGAGGTGAGGTCGTCGAGGTGGAGGACCCGACGACGCTTGTAGACGAAGCGGCGGCGGCGGCGGCGGCGTCCTCGAGGTCGAGCGAGTGGAGGACCTGGCAGCGCTTGTAGACGAAGCGGCGGCAGCAGCGTCCTCGAGGTCGGGCGGGTGGAGGACCCGGCGGCGCTTGTAGACGAAGCCGTTGCAGTTGCAGATCTCCCAGTCCTCGTTGCCGTCGCCGCCGGCGGTGGAGGCGTACTAAAATCCATGCGCTCTCTCTCCTCTCTACTCTCTCTTTTTCGCTGAGATTGATTTCGCTTGCTGTGGCGGCTGGGCTCTGATCCGTCGATCCGTGCGCTCGCCGGAGGAGGAGGAGGATTTGGGGTGTGTGTGTGTGCACGGCGGTGGCGCGCGGCGGGATGATGCTGGCGGGGCACAAGTTCAGGAAGGGGAAGAAGGCGGTGGAGGAGGAGGTGAACGGGTTCTTCATGGAGGAGGAGGAGGAGGTAGCGGTGTCGGACGCGTCGTCGATCGGGATGGCATCGTCGGACAGCTCGACGGGAGAAATCGTCGTCGGAGAAGGAGGGGCATTCTCGTCTCTTCAAGCCGCTTCCCAGAGAAAATGATATCCAAAATGGTGAAAATGGCAAAGTAGCTGTGATGGCGCACTCCATATTAGCATTTTAGCGAAACACGTTTTCGGGATGGTATTCCAGTGAAACCATGTTTTCAAAGTGGCAAAATGTCCATTTTCTCCAGCCAAGCTGAACTGAATTTGCATGAGTTTTACCTGTTTATTACCTTCTGAATGCAGGTTGTAGCCGTTGGTCCAGGCCCTCTTGATGATGAAGGCAAGAGGCAGCCATTGTCAGTTTCAGCGGGCAGCACTGTGATGTACTCCAAGTACGCAGGCAGTGAGTTCAAGGGAGCTGATGGCACCAACTACATTGTCTTGAGAGTATCAGATGTGATGGCTGTCCTATCTTGAGCTGTGATTTGTTTCAATTTTGAGTTCAGAATAGACGGTAGCAGGTGGTAATGGTTGCCATGTGGTGATCTTCACTCTGCGGAGATGCTGTCTTTGATAATCCTAGAATTCGAACGCAACAATTTGCAGATCTCCTACGGGATCAACATTCCACTGTGACTGATTTTTATTTATAAAAGTTTGTTTTGTTTCAAGGCCTTCCTTCATTGCCTCTTTAGCCCAATTTTGTCTTTCCACTCATCAGTGTTTTCATCGGCTGGTTTGGCAAAACGGTGATTGCTATTTTTATCGCTTCCTCTGTGTGCAAATATACGGGCATTTGAAAATTTTAAAATTTGTTTATAATTTAAATTTTAGACTACTTTGTTCCATTAGTCTCAATATTTTTCCATCTTATTTCCCACCATCTTTCCATTCCATTTTTCTTATTTAAGATTAAATTTGCAGAAATACTACAGGGCTGTATTCGGTTTAAATGGAACAGCTGTATGTTACGATGATATCACTATAGTACTTAGGTATCAAGGTATCAGATTTGATACCTACGAGATATTATATATAAATCTGATATCTACGGGGTATGTTTGGTATCAAATCTGATACCTACGAGATATTATATATAAATCTGATATCTACGGGGTATGTTTGGTATCTATCTGGTACCTATTCTTATATTTAGGGCAAGTACTATGGACATCCAAGTATAAGCTCTAAGATGCCGCATAGGACTAAATAGTGAGGTGGAGAAGAGAAGAAGGATGAGAGAGAAATAATCACCTCTCATGCAAGAGGCAGTCCCTACACAAACTTCAATAAACATGTGAGAGTGTTAGAGATACTGGGGATTGTGTGGTAGATGTAACCTATTATACATATCATCTCTTAATTTAATTATCTATGTCATGCATGAAATTGGATGTGGTAGTCACCTCTACTATAAAACTTGCCCTAAGAGGTGTAAATTTAATGGTTAAGCTGCTACTCTTATATTTAAGAGAAGTGTAAATAAAATATATAGAACTATAACTCTGATGGAACCCAAACATTTTTGACACACTGCGTCCACATGTCAACAGCTTGGTTGAGATGAAACGGTGAGCTACATTTCTTAGCTACGAGCCTATGACGAAACGATGAGCCATGCCAGCAAGCCATGTTATCACCAACACTCGAAGGTAATGTTCGGGAGCATAACGCCTCCCCCATCTTTAAAATCCAGTATACTCGACTCGTTTCAAAAGCGGTTTCGTCCTACGTGGTACTCATAGGATCCACATATCAGTGAAAAAAAAAAATTAACAGCCCCACATTCCAATCATCTCCTAATATCTTTTTCCTTTTTTTTTCCCTCTCTCTTTCTTGTTCTCTCTCCAGGTTGCGGTAGCGGCTAACATAGTTAGGGAGGCGACAATAAAAGTAGCGGTGCACGAGGCGATGGGGCATCAGAGGAAGAGAGAGAGAGAGAGAGAGAGAGAGAGAGAGAGAGAGAGAGAGAGAGGAGGACGCGATGTAGAGCCGCCGGCGGGTTTTGAGGAGAAGGATGTGGAGCCGCGCGAGGTAGGGAAGGGATCGATGGGTGGGAGGGTGTGGTCGCTGCCATGTCGTCCTTCTCTGTTGTTGGGATTGTCTGCACGGCGTCATATTCGAGAGGCGCCAGAAGATCGATGGTGACAAGATGGGTGGCACGCAGGGAGAAGCTTGTCGGCCAGCTGCGGGGCGTAGGCTCCGAGGAGGTGCACAGGCTGTGGGAGCTCGTGGAGGACTTGGTCGGCTCCGTTGCGCACGGGAAAAGAATCTTGTCGGCGGCTGCGCACGCGGGGAGGACTTCGCTGGCTCCGACACTCTTGGGAGGAGAAGCTCATCGGGGGCTACGCACACGGGGGGAAGCTCGCCGGCTGTCGCACACACGGGATGGACTTGGCTGGCTGCACGCGCGGTTCCAATCCTTCCTCCCGCTCCTCTCCCACCCCTCCCCCTCTCTTCAGTGCCCATCTCCTTTCCGCTGACGCCGTTTTCGCCCCACGCGTTGCCACCTTCACTACTGCCGCCTGGTCGCTCGCTCCAGCGCTGCCACCTTCACCGCCGATGCCGCCCCACGTGCCCACTTCACTGTCATCGTGCTGGCAAGGCTAGTCGCTGCCACTGCCTATAGAGGGAGAGAGAGGGGTGAGGAAAAAGAAAATGAGATTAGGATGGCTGACCTGTGGGGCTATTAATTTTCTATTTTTTCTCACTGATATGTGGATCCTATGAGCGCCACGTAGGATGAAACCGCTTTTGAAACCAAGGAATCGATTTACACCGGTTTTTAGAGATGGAGGATGTGTTATACCCGGTTTTGTGGTTAAAGGATACGATTCAACTAGGGTCAAGAGATGAGGGATGTAGAATAGACTTATTCCTTGTATGGCCGTGTGCCGTGACCATGGAGGAATCCGGTAAGAGAGGCTGAGTGGTTGGCGTCATTGGGCTAGTGCCCGCTCTTGAACACCGCCGGCCCGTCTCTCGCGCATAGCCATCTCGGTGATTTCGTCATCGCTACCGTCATCCCTCAAAGCTCCATTGAGCAGCGGCAACAAGCATCGGCCACCAGAGCGAGAGGAGGAAGACAAGAGGAGCAGCTGTGTCACTCGAATCATCAGGAGCAACGACGACCTTCTGCTACTTTTGCCACAAGTGGTACTCTCCCCGTCTTAAAATATAAGTATTTTTAAATTTAGCATAGACTTCGAAATACTACTTTGATCCACAGTATCTTTAAAAGTAAGATTCTTGAATAAAAAGAGTTGCATATTATGATAGTTTGTTCTAAAATATAAGTATTTTTAAATTTGGCATAGACTTCGAAATACGACTTCGATCAACAATATCTCTAAAAGTAAGATTCTTGAATAAAAAGAGTTGTATATTATGATAGTTTGTTTAACGATTAATCCAGTAACATCAATTTTACACGCTCGATCTTTTTTATTTTTTATATTAATAGTTAAAGTTAAAAATGCTTAACTTGACACTATTATCAAGATACTTATATTTTGAGAAAGAGGGAGTACTCCCTCTGTCTCAAAAAACTCAATTCCTGAGTTTTTGTGTTTAACGTTTGACTGTCCGTCTTATATGAAATTTTTTTATAATTAGTATTTTCATTGTTGTTAGATGATAAATCATGAATAATATTTTATGTGTGATTTATCTTTTTAATTTTTTTTATAATATTTTCAAATAAGACGGACGGTCAAACGTTAGACACGAAAACCTATAAATTGAGTCTTTTTGGGACGGAGAGAGTAATATTTACTCCATCCGTCCCAAAATATAACAATTTCTTCATCAACATTCTCTTCTAAACCAATCACAACCATCCACCATTCACTTTTCTCACCTATCTTCACTTCTGATCCAATCACAACCCTCTAGCATTCACTTCTACTTACTTTCTTAATAACAGTATTCAACTCTAAAACTTCTTATATTCTGGGATGGAGGGAGTATTTAGTACTGGCAGGATTTCCTCACACCATTCGTCAATGCTCTTACTTTCTCTCCGATCCTTTTTTTCATAAATACAATACAACCGTCGATGCTCACAACGTGCATATACTTATCCTGGGAACGTGTACACGGTACATTAATCGTACCCCTATAAACACCTCACCGATTACTGTAGTAGCGCGTCCCACCACATAAATCATGTGTAATACGTGACTACTAGTTGACACGAGACTCTGCCCCGGCCGCTTAGCTTGGTCCTCAACGAGTCCGTGTTTTCATTTTTTGCCAGCGCGGTTTTGAAGAACTTTGCAGATGAAGTTTGGTCCCAACCCAACTGTGAGTCGTCCAAGGTCCTTATCCTACGCGTCCACCCGATCGAACCGTACAGAGTTCAGGTACCATTATTCTACCTCTACGGCCGACCAAAACACGGTCCCCATCTCGAAATTCAGACACCGGATATGTACGCAAGTGTGCATGCATACACTTATCTCTCTTACATAGTCGCTCCGTTCCATTTTAAATACAATCGTGAATTTCTGTGTCCAACGTTAGATCGTTCGTCTTATTTAAAAAATTTATAAAAAAATAAAAAAATAAGTCACTCATAAAGTACTATTTATATTTTATCATCTAATAATAATAAAAATATTAATCATAACAAAAAAAAATTAAATAAGACAACGATCAAACATTGGACACGGAAACCAATAATTACACTTGAAATAGGATGGATGGAGTATTATCTAAATGATTCAAATATTTTTCTTTATAAATTTAATATCATAGACTACAATGCTTTTTTATCACATCATAAATATGTAGTGCTGAAGAAAGCAAATGTTGCCAACTGTTTTGAATTTTTTTTACACCCTCTGTTTTATAGTATTTGTTACTTTTGACTAGCTCTGTTTTGCTCTGTCCAGAAATAACTTTAAATAATTTCACAATTTAAAAACATAGCAAATTAATTATGTTTTATGGTACATAAAAACATACAAATTAAGGTTATTTCCGTCAAACAATTTAAAATTAACTCACTCTATTCGTTTTTCTAATATACGTCACCCCCATATTCTTAATATGCATGTGACCATTTATCCTTAAAAAAATTACATAATTATCATTTATTTTCTTGTAATTTGTAGGTTGTGTCAACAAAATTAATAAATAATGTCAAACTGAGAGAGTAACTATTTGATAATCAATATTCGAGGGGCGAGGAACAAACGAGTGCAAATATATGACAACTGTAAAATTCACTGGTGAACCAATCCAATCCATTTCCTATCTATTACTAACTTACCAACCACACTATCCCGTTCCTAAAGAAAACGTGGTCATTTCATATCTCTCATGCCAAATAGATAGGTGGGATCATCTCATACCAAAAAAAAGCAATGAACTTAACCCATTCCACCTCATCCAATCCACAAACAGAGCACATTATTAATGTTTAAATTAGTGTCAGCCCAAATTGATGAATAATGTAAAACTAGGGTAGTAGCTATTTGATAATCAATATTCGAGAGCGAGCAACAACCGAGTGGGCATATACCACGTCCGTTTTTTAATAGATGACGCCGTTGACTTTTTTTTAGAATAACATAGTACAAAGCAGACACTCACAACGCACGCGTACTCACCCCTATGAACACACGCACGCAAACCCTATCCCTATGAGCATCTTCAAAGACTGGGCCGGCAAATCCTGGAGAAATTGACGAAGTCACCACAGGCGCCTCGCTGTCGACGGGTACGTCGCCTACCACAAAAAGCACAACGCCGTTAAATCCTGAAAAATTCGCTCCCATGGGGAGTCGAACCCAGGACCTCATGACGCCGTTGACTTTTGAACACATGATTGACCACTTATTTTATTAAAAAAAATTATACAAATGTATAACATATAAATCATGCTTAAAATATTCTGAGTGATAAAACAACCCGCAACAAAATAAATTATAATTACGTAAATATTTTTTGAATAAGACGAACGATTAAACGTGAGAAAATAATTAATGGCATCATTTATCAAAAACGGAGGAAATATATGACAATTGTAAAATCCAACTCCTTAATAGGGAAATCCAATTTGTGCTAGGATGATAAAGACATTGTAGCTATATTTATGACGCCATATTGTTTACCAAATAATATTCGGCATGTATTTACGCTGTAAGTTCCTAAATTACATATGTAATTTTAGTGTATTTACAATATAAGTTTCAAAATTACATATGTAAATTTTAAAATTATATATATAAGTTCCAAAATTACATATGTAATTAGTATGTAATTACATGAATTTGGTACATGAAGTTGGTACTTCAGGGTGTGTTTTAGTTCACGTCAAAATTAGAAGTTTGGTTGAAATTGGAACGATGTGACGAAAAAGTTGAAAGTTTGTGTGTAGGAAAGTTTTGATGTGATGAAAAAGTTAAAAGTTCGAAGAAAAATTTTGAAACTTAACTCGGCCCTAGTTTGATGTTCAGCGGATCACGAGTTCGATCCATCAGTCTGCACCCGTGGGAAATTTTTTTTTACACTCCATCGGCACGCATCGTAAAGCACATTGGATAGTCTAAAAATTGCAAGTTTTCTGACCGAATTTCTGCCACAGAAATTTAGACCTTGTTTAGTTTGTGAAAAGAAAATTTCTGGGTGTCACATTGAACATTTGACCGAATGTCGAAAGGAGTTTTCGGACATGAATAAAAAAATAATTTTATAACTCGCATGGAAACCGCGAGACGAATTTATTAAACCTAATTAATCCGCTATCAGCACATATAGGTTACTGTAGCATTTATAGCTAATTATGGACTAATTAGGCTTAAAAGATTCATCTCGCGATTTCTATACAAACTGTGCAATTAGTTTTTTATTTTATCTATATTTAATGTTTTATGTATGTGTTTAAAGATTAGATGTAATGTTTTTGGGAAACAATTAGCGATTCCGAAGACATTCTAGGATGGAGCACTGTGCCCAAGTCGTTTTCAGGTAGTCTACGTGGTCTTCCCCCGCATGTCCATACCACTAGTAAAAAAAAGGCACACATCAGATTCAGACGTTAGTACAATTCAGCTAGGGCACGCACACGTCACTGCCTACGTGGTAATTTTACACACCCATCCTTATATATAGATCTCATGCATGCAAGCTCACTCGACCGAGCTAGTTATCAACGTGCGAGTTGCGACGTACGAGGTTCGACGACGACCCGCGTAGCCAGCTAGCTCTAGCTGCCGGCCATGTCGTCGTCGTCTTCGGCGACGACGACGAAGTATAGGGGAGTGCGGCTGCGCAAGTGGGGGAAGTGGGTGTCGGAGATCCGGCTGCCCAACAGCCGCGAGAGGATATGGCTGGGATCCTACGACACGCCCGAGGAGGCGGCGCGGGCGTTCGACGCCGCGTTCGTCTGCCTCCGCGGCGGCGGCGAGGCCGCCGGGAACGGGATCAACTTCCCCGGCTCGCCCCCTGCCGTGGCGCGCACCAGCGACCCGCAGGAGGTGTACGCGGCCGCGGTGTCGCATGCCAACAACCGGCCGCCGCCGCCGCCGTCGGCCCGAGCAACGTCGTCTGCACTTCCATGGGAGGAAGCTCCGGTGGTGGCGGCTCAGGAGGCGGCGGCGGACATGGCGCCCGACGTGGTGGTGCTGCCATCGTCGCCGGTGAATGTGCTGGCAGCAGCTGGGAGCTTCGAATATTGGTCGCAACAACCACTCTACTCGCCGACGGCAGCAAGCCTCGATTTGCAGAGGTGGATGACGGCGGCGGCGGCGGCCGAGGAATCAATAATGGAGGATGACGACGACGAAGGAACAAGTGATGGTCTTTGGAGTTTCCACTACTCACCGACTCGTTCCAAGTGGTAATTAACGAGCTTAATTAGGATGCTCGTGTGATCTGGCGTCCAACTGAGGAGCTTAATTAATTTTGCACAATATATGCCACGCATCTTGTAACGTAGGAAATGCACATTGTTTAGGATATATCTTTTTCGTACAAAAATGAACTTTCAAAACTGTGTTTATACATTTAAAATTGATACATAAAAATGCTGGCTGTATGTAGATTTATCTTCTAAATTAATCTAATTCCATGTAATTTTTTTTCTAAAATGTTTTTCATGAGGTAATGCAGCTACTGAGGTCCCGTTCGTTTCTTATGTAACACGTGGATGAAAATTTAGATTTTTGTGGGCTGTACACGGTGGCGGTTGTGGCGTTCACAAGCCTGCACATGGCGGGGTTCGGGTGGTGGTGTGGCCCGGTAGAGGAGGACGAATAAGAAAGAAGATTGCTGTTTCACTTACAAATGGATCCCATGTGTCTTTTTAATTTTTTTCTATTTGTGTTTATTGTGCCACGTTATCTAGAACCGTCTTCAATATTGTCTTAGGACTAGAAAAAATATCCGTGCGTTGCAACGGGAAGAAAAGATGAGAAAATTAAGGAGAAATTGAGAAAGATTTACATTATGTAATTAACTTAAATACAAATTTCCTGTAATAGTTGATATTTTTTTAAGTAGGTAGGTGTTTAAATTAATTTAAAAGTAAACTAAGTGTGGAAATAAAATGATATGGCTGGATTTAATTTTTATGAAGTTCTCCATGATTAATTACACTCTAGAATTTTCTTGAAATTTTTAGAGCTCAGTTGCTAATTTTAATAATACAAACATTATTTCAGCATTTATTTAAACAAAAATCTAAATAAAAACTCTCCTTTCTCTCTGTGCCATCAGCCTGCAGCCGAGCCGGCCCACTTTTCTCCCTTCTCCTCCCCTCCACCTTGGCCCGCAAGTACGCATCCAGCCCGCAAGGCACTACAAGTCTAATCAGCTTCCCCAGCTCCTTCTTTCATGGCTACATGGCCGTCTCCTACCTCCGTATGTATTGCCGCATCTGCCCGACGACGCCTGAATCTGACTCCTCCGTAAAATCCGGCCACATCCTTGGAGATAATCCGAAATTAACTGATGGGTTTTAATCCTTATCTTCTCCTCTTTCTGTTTTCCCAAGAATCAAAGCAAAACCACGTCGTATAGATATCGGAAGTGAAACCATAGTTTTTTTTAGTCTAAGTCAGTTTCTCTTAAAAACTGCGCACGCACGCGCGAGAGGCGAGGGAACCAGACCATATGGACGAAAAAAGAAGTGTGACGAAAGGAAAAATACGAATATTTTAATTAAGTTAAGATTAAGATAAGATATATTATTATTAGGTAGGTATAGATGTACTATGGGGTGTTCTTGTGGTGTACGTATTAGGGCGTGATCTAAGCGTAGTGGACCTGAACATGACATGGGCTATTTTCTAGGGGAAACGTGACATGGGCCTAAAAAGATCTATAAGGGAATAGGAAATCATGGAGCTATCAAGGAGGAATCGGACAGAAAAAATCGCACACTACATGTGGAGGGAATCGGATTAAAAAATCGCAACAATCGCGCTATATACGGTAGGGAATCGGACTCAAAAATCACTCGGGACGACGTATGGAAATTCATGGGCAAAAACATCTTAAACTTTTATAATAGGAAAAGATTATATTTACACCGGTTTTAAAAGATAAATGATGCTTTGTAACTAATTTTGAGATTTAGGAATGCGATTCAAACTCCGACATCAAGAGACCTTAAGTGAATTTATTCCATTGATGTACTTACAAGAGATGGACCAAATTAGGCATTAATTTTTGGAAAATAAGTTTACTTTAGATCCCTTAAGTTGTCACCGAATTCTAAATTCATCAATGGATTGCAAAACCGGATACTACGCATCCCCTAACTTACAACCAATGCAAATGAGGTTCCTTGGCAGTATTGCACTCGGTTTTAGCTGACGTGGCTCCTTTGACTAGGTATTCGTCGCACATGGCATTAACGCGACGCTTATGTAACAATTCGATCCAAATAATAATAATAATAATAAAACTCATATGGTCCACATATCACTTACACAAAAAAAAAATAAAAAAATTGTGGTGCCCATGTGATTCCACGTATCATCCTCACTACTACCTCTTCTCTCTATCCTCTCTCTCTCCCCTGCATGTTGCTGTACACGTTGGTCTGGATGATGTAGGAGTAGGACTCACCCGTCCGGTTGCCCAGGAACTCGAAGTCCAGCTCGTCGCGCTGCGGCGCCGTGTCCACGTAGGAGCACATCTGCAACCACCGAACATGTACCTGTCCTTCGTCTGGAACCCGACGCCGCCTGAACAAAAAACCAAGAAACAGGGGAGCATCAGCACTAGGCATTGCCGGAGCTAGCTTGTTCGAATCAGAGCAGCTGCATGCGAGATCACTCTCACTCACCGGTCTTTTGTTGTCGAGGTAGAGGTACCACGTCTAGCCATCGGCGGAGGTCTTGACGTAATCCTCGATCGGCTCCGCCGCAGACGCCCCACTAAAGCAGCAGAAGCAGCAGCAGCAGCACACATCAACAACGATCGTCGCCACCATCAACGTACCCACCAACCCACGGCCGCATCCCCCGTGACCCCGGGGTTCACGAAGCGGAGCGGGCGGCGGTGGACGCCGTCGTAGTTGGTGACGACGTAGAGCGCGGGTCGTCGCCGTCGCGCTCCACCCGCTTCTTGACGCCGCGCACCCCGCCGCCGAGCACCGGTAGTAATTCCTCGCGTTCGGTTGAACTCCGACCTCGTCCTGACTCCTGAGCCCAATCCTGCTCGTCGTCGCTGAGGACATACCATGCCGGTCGTTATTCCCGCTGGCCATCACCACCGGCGGCGGCTGCTGCCCCGCCGCTCCGCCATCACAACTGATCATTCGTCTTATTCAAGATTTTTCGTGTAAATATAAAAATATTTAAATCATGAAGTTTTGATGATAAATTAAATCACAATAAAATAAGTAATAATTACATTTTCTTAATAAGAACGTATCTAAAAAGTCAATAATTATCGTCATACAGAGTATATATATCAGATCCACCAAATATGCCACAACCATTTATCCCTGTTTAATTGAAGAACTTGTCAATATGCTTTTATCAACCATGCATATATATTAACAATTACTCCGTAACTTCAAAGTTCGAACTAATAACTAAATAACGAACCACTTTCTTGATGTCCTCCAAATATGTCACACTATCATCTGCTGGCAATTACTTGATCAGTCATCACGTTCCAAATGTTTTTTTTCGCCGGTCAAGTTCTGAATGCTACGTACGGAAAAGAACACGTACTAATAGAAAGCGCGCTTCCAAAGTTGCACACAAGAAAATTTTGTTTTGTTGTTATTTTTATGGAAGGAAAAAACTGTAGGTGAGTATATCCTACAGCGTAAAACCAAAAATATATTAAAAGAAACAAAATTTACACTGTACAATAAAAATAAGTAACAAATTCTGCAGTCGTTGTTGCATTTGGGGCATTGTATTATCTTTTGCTCTATGGATAACCATGGCAAATTCCTTTTTGAAAAGGTCCAAGCAAACTTGGACGAAGTAAGGTGAGATGTTTTTGAAGATCTTATCATTTCGTGTGATCCAAATGCTCCAAGCCATAATGATTATTATCTCCATGTGAAAGGACACTTGGAGTTTTTCTTGCAGATCTTCAATGGCCTCTTGGACTGAGAGTCCCATTCTTCTTGTGGGGAAAATTTTGTTCCAGCATAGTGTGCAAAAGGACAAGTGAGAAAGAGATGTTGCTGAGTTTCTTCCATTCCCAAGTTGCAGATGTGAAATGAGATGCGTGGGAAGCGTTGAACGTCTCTCGAGGCCACACCTTTGTTAATATAGATGGGAACAGCCCCCATTGTGGCGTTTACAATAGATCGATCTCAATCTCAGTTGTTGCTAATCAACCGGAGAGAAACCGTGTACAGGAGAAAGGATAGGAACAAACTCTAATGACTTATCTCCTATACATCGGGAACTACTTTATCTAACACCCTCTCTCAATCACAACCTTCCTAGGTTGAGATTGTATTTGAAGTTTTCTGGAAGTCGTTCTGACAATGGTTTAGTAAAACCATTTGCAACTTGATCTTTAGTACATAACCAACTTGCAATAATTTTTGTGCTACTCTCTCTCGAACAAAATGGTAATCAGTTGCTATATGTTTAGTTCTTGCATGAAAGACATGATTGAAGGATAAGTACCTTGCACCCATGTTGTCACACCATAGTTGAGCGGTAGTTGGACTGTCTATGTGCAATTCTTGCAAGAGAGTCTGAACCCACATAATTTCAGCAGTAGCATTTACTAAGGCTTTGTACTCTGCTTATGTACTTGACCTTGAAATAATTGTCTGTTTCTTTGCACTCCATGAGACCATGTTATCACCTAGATATACAGCAAATCCACCAGTTGACCTTTTGTCATCTAAACATTCTACCCAGTCTGCATCAGAATAGGCACTGACCATCATAGTTTTAGACTTACAGATCTTTAGGCCAAGTTTAATGGATTGTCTCAAGTACCTCAGTATTCTTTTAATAGCTGCCCAATGTACTGTAGTTGGAGTATGCAAGAATTGACAAACTTTATTAACTGAGAAAGCAATATCTAGCCTAGTCAAAGTTAAGTACTAAAGTGCTCCAAACTTCTGTACTGAGTAGCATAAGTTTGTCCTAAAATGATCCTTTATCAACTTTTAATTTTTCACTGGTGGACAAAAGTGTACTAACTGGTTTGCAATCACTCATTCTAGTTCATTTTAACAGATCAGAGGCATATTTTTCTTGTGTCAAAAGATTCCATTTGCAATCTTATTTACCTCTATTCCAAGGAAGTAATGCAGCTCTCCAAGATCCTTGAGAGCAAACTCCTTTTGTAGATCCTGCAATAGAGTTGGCACCGTCTCCTGTCTTGAACTTACAACAATTATATCATCAACATAGATAGGCAAAAACAATGTCAAATCTCCCTTATTGTTGAAGAATAAAGATGTGTCTGCCTTGGAACCCTTGAAACCAAGATCATATAACTTTCCACTAAGTTTGGCATACCAAGCTCTGGGAGCCTGCTTTAAACCATATAGAGCTTTATCTAACTTACATACATAACCTAGAGTGGAGGAGTTTCATACCCTAGTGGTTGTTTCATATAAACTCCCTCTTCAAGCACTCCATGCAAAAAGGCATTCTGTACATCAAGCTGTCTTAGACTCCATCCTCTGCAATGGATAAGACAATTTTGATAGTAATAGCTTTATTTACATGACTGAAAGTGTCCTCATAGTCTATACCATACCGTTGTTTAAATCCTTTGGCAACTAGGCTCTAAGCTACCATCTTATTTTCTTTTAATTTTGTAAACCCATTTGTAGTAAATAATATTTTTGTCTTTCTGAGGAGGAACTAAGTGCCATGTTTTATTTTTAATTAAAGCTATATATTCTGCATCCACAGCATCTTTCCAATATTAAGCATCTTGTAAATTTTGTGGATCACTAGATGATGTCAGACGACCCCATTTAAGAGTACCGTCAATGTAGTCTTTCTCTTTTCTGATTCCGCTTTGCAGTCGCGTGTGAGGGCGAGCAACAGGAATATCTGCTGCGTCTGCATCGATGTGACCACCACCACTGTGGCCATTGCTGCGATATTCTGTGGCTTCTTGAGACGCGGTTGCCTACTGTGATTCCTCCCTGGCCATAGATGATCCGGGCAGGGAGGTCACCGTGTCAGAGCCGGCGCCAGACCGTGGCCTGGTCGTGCCTGGGGACTGGGAGTTGGGTGACGTGGCAGCAGAGGATCGAATGGCCGCCGGGAGAGCCATGCGCAGGCGATTGGTGCAGGTGAGATCCCGACGGCTGGCGCGATGCGGCAGTTGAGGATGATGCTGAGGCTGGCTCCGTTCCCACCAGAGGCTGGTTGCTGGGCTCAATATCATATGCTGTATTATCATAGGCCTCTGTATTCTGCTACAAAACTTCAAGCGAATTATCAGAAATTTCAGGAGAATCAATCACATAGGAATTCTGTTGGGGACCCCTAGGGATATATGGAGCTAATTCTAGTATAAGAGATATTTCAGCGCGAAGATGGGCTCCGGCGTTGGAGTGAAGTTTTGCAAAGGGAAATTGAGTTTCATCAAACATTACATCGTGGGAAATATATATACACATGACCAGTAGTAGGATCAAGGCATTTAATACCTTTGTGAAAAATTCTATAACCAATAAAAGTGCATTCTTTTGAGCGGAAATGAAGCTTATGCTTGTTATAAGGTCGAAGATTGGGCCAACATGCACACCCAAAAACTCGAAGGGCTATGTAATTTGGTTGGCAATCAAAGAGTTTTTCCAACAGAGAAATATCACCGAGAGCTCTACTAGGGGTGTGATTAATCAAATAGACCGCTGAAAGAAAGGCTTCATTCCAAAATTTAAGTGGCATAGATGAGTAAGCTAGCAATGCAAGTCCTACCTCAACTATATGACAGTGTTTTCTTTCAGCTGAGCCATTTTGTTGGTGAGTGTGAGGACATGAGATATGTTGAGTAATGCCAGCTTGTGCAATGAAGGAATGAAGTTTTTGATATTCTCCTCCCCAATCAGTTTGCATGGTTATATTTTTTCTATTAAAGAAACGCTCCACAAGCTATAGAAATTCATGAAATTTTTGAAAATCTTCAGACTTATACTTAAGGAGATATATCCAAGTGAACTTTCTATAATCGTCAAAAAAGCTTACATAGTACTTACAACGACCAACAGATTGTAGTGCAGTATCCCAAACATCAGAATAAACATGCATCACAGACTAGAACTTCATTAGACACATCTAAACATGGTAACTTATGACTCTTAATAACCTTCTCTACGACAACATAGGAAGGATGGCCAAGATGACTATGCAATCTCTCAAAGGATGGCTGGGAGACTCCATAAACTTGTTTGGTATGATGTTGACTTGGCGGTGCAGATGGAAGAGCATAGAGTCCTTTATGACATCGACCCCTAAGCAGAGTTCTCCTCATGGCCAGATCCTTTGTAAAGAAAAAAAAACGATATAACTCTATGAAAGCAAAGTTATCACAAGCAAGACAATGAGCTGAAACAAGATTCTTGCTAGCCTTAGGAGCATATAGAATTTTATTTAAGTAGATATTACGACTAGGGGTCTTAACAACAGAATTTCCAATGTGACTAATCTCCATACCTGCACCGCTTGCGGTGTGAATCTGATCATTGCCATGATACTTGTCACGAACAGTCAGCTTGTCCAACTCTCCTATGGCATGATCAGTAGCTCTGTGTCGAGGTACCAATTTGTATCCACACCATATGATGTGGCGGTACCTGCAAACCTCTCATCTAGAACAAAATTTTCATCATAGTGATACCAATAGTCTTTTACCGTGTGCCCTATCTTGTAGCAGAGTTGGCATTTTGGCCAGTTGTCGATGCCTCTAGGATTGGTGCGATTGCCACCGGGATTGCCACGGCCTCTTCTTCCGTGGTTTCCAGCGTTGCTGGTGCCACGGTTGCCGCTGGGGCTATTGCGATTGCTGCCGCCACCACCTATGCCGCGTTGCTGCTGTCCTCAACCGCGACTAGCTCTATTGGCCAAGTGCGCTCCTTATTCCCTGCGATGAAGAGCAAGCCTCTGCTCGAAGCTTATGATCTGAGCAAGGCTTCCTCGATGGTGATCTGATCTTGCCCGACAATGTTGGAGATCACCGGCTCGTATTCTTCATCTAGGCCGGTGATGATGTAGCTGATGAGGTCGTCGTCGTTGACGGACTTGCCAGTGATGATGAGTTCATATGCTAGCGCCCGCATCTTCCCGACGTAGGCTATCACCGTCATCTCTCCTTTCTTCAGAGTAGTGAGTGAAAGACGCGTGTTGATGCATCGCACTCGTGTCATCGAGGAGAACATTCCCTCAATCATCTTCCATGCTGATGCAGCAGTGGCGCACGCCGCCACCTGGATTAGCATGTCCATGGTCATGAAGGACAGCAGGTACGAGAGGACCTGCTGATCAACCGCAACCCATTCTTCATATTCTGGGTTGTTGACAATTGTTTCTGCCTCGCCATCCTTGCTCCTGAGAACGGCGGCCAGAGCTCTCGACGCACCGGTGAGATGCCCTTCAAGCTTGGCACCTCGAATTGCTGCAAGAACCAGCGCCTCTTTCATAGGGCATGGTTCGATTTTCCGAGTTTCTCTGAGATGAGTTGGCCTGCCAGGGAGTTGCCAGTAGATGTCTTCGATGAACTCGCCATGGTGTGGTGGAGGAAGGGGATAGATTAGATTGGCTCTGATACAATGTGAAAAGAGATGCGTTGGAAGCGTTGAACCTCTCTCGAGGCCGCACCTTGGTTAATATAGATGGAACAGCCACCCATCGTGGCGTTTACAAATTACAATAGATCGATCTCAATCTCAGTTGTTGCTAATCAACCGGAGAGAAACCGTATATAGGAGAAACCATAGAAACGAACTCTAGTTACTTTTTTTTTTGCGGGGAACAAACTCTAGTGACTTATCTCCTATACATCAGGAACTACTTTATCTAACAGCAGATAGAACAATTACAGTCGGGTCTTTCAAAAAATTTTTCTTCGAAGGAAATTTCTGGTGTTCAACCTATGATTTAGGAGTAGCCAAAAGAAAACTGTGTGTTTTTGTTGAGCAAAACTTTTCCATAACCATTTCGATGAGATCGGAGTATTGAGAATTCCACAACCTATCATTTGTTTGTTGTTGTTGTCTTTTGTGATCATGCTTGCATACACGCAGCAGATCGCATATTTATGCACCAGCAGCTGCTGCGATTGTATAATTAAGGGGAAAAAAAGAACTCGTCAGCTCGCTGTATGTAACTATGTATGTATGATATGAAATTTTAGGGTACTTGAGAAAATATCTATAGATATTAACTAAAATATCTGGTAATTAACTTGAAATAATTTCTTAAGGATAGTATAAAACTACCCATATATAATACTTTGGTGCAGATTTATTGTGCAAAAATTGCAACTTTAATAATCTTTTTATATATGTTGATCTACTTTAACAATTTTACCGGACAACACCAAGCTGCCGATTCACACCCACCGTCGTCGTCACAGAACACATCATCATTCTTTGTGGAACATTACTAGTACTGGGTTTGAAGAACCACGTACCGCAGATGGGTTTTCACGATTGAAAATTAAGAAAACGCACTAAGCAAGCTACATGAATCAAGCCAATGCTAGCTTCGACCCAGACTTACGGTAAAAGAAAATAAAATCACACATAATGAATTAATCATAAATCACATAATCTTTACAAGTCACAAAATCTTTTAACAACAAATTAAAAGTCTGTACACGCACTGAATCACAAACCCAACAAAAATAAAACACATAGTCAATATATAACAACATCACAAAATGCACCGCGGAGTTGGACAACGTATATCGGGTTTAGTTGCTGCTATGGGAGAAGTCCCCATGCTCACTGCCATGGAGCAACCTGCGATCCACCACCATCGAGTGTGCCCCTAAAATTATCGGGCAACAATGGATCAGACTGCTCTTGAGCACATGGCTACCAATCTAGCTAGCCACCTAAGAGCTCGTGGCAGCCATATCTGCGAACCCTCGAGCTACGCCCCGATAAAGAGGGTGGGGGAAGGGGGGCGTCGAATGCTGGGAAGAGCGGAGGAGGCCACTCCCGAGCCACCATGATGAGGAGAAGTGGGCCACGCTAGGGAGAGGAGATAGCCAGTAAGCCGCTACCTGTTTGGGGAGGGTGCTGCCACTCTTCAGGAGAGGTCGAGGGATTGCTTGGCGAGAGAAGAGTGAGAGAGGAGTGGAATAGAGTGAGAGAGAAGAGAGCTTAGAGGATGGGGATTTAAAATTAAACACTAATTCCTACTCAGTCTCATTAGAAATCCCGATACTAAACTACTGATATTGGTTTTTTTACTAGCCTATTAAAAGACCGGTATTGATAGCGGCCCCATCACATCAGCGTTGGTTTATATATGGAATCGGAACTGACGGTACAAATGGCAATCATTAGTTACAATGTCTGTCCATCTAAGACGCGCACAGGTCAAGGGGGATGGGAAACCTTATCAATGCCAAATTTTTTCCAATGGGAACTAAGAGTCTTCATTTAGTAGGTTCCATAGAAGTAATTGTTTTCAACCAAAGATAAATCTCTCATATTGGGAAGAAATATTAACTAGTAATAAAAAACTTTAACAATCCAAAAATAGAAAAAAAATACCTAGATATATATAGCCACTACTACAAAATACCACACAGTTTTCGCCTTTCTCGGGATAAAATTAAGAACCATCACCTATAACCACTCATTGGTACCGGTTTATAACAAAAACCAGCACCAATAGTCCCCAAGTCATAGGTGCTGGTTCTTTATAATAAACCGACACCTATGAAATCACATAGGTGCCAGTTTTAGTTGCGAATCAGCACATATTAGCATCACATATGTGTCGGTTCTTAATAAATACCAGCACCTATAATACTGTAGCTCATATATGTGTATTTTTTATCTAACTTTTTCATATGAAGTTGGATGAAAATAAAAATTCTAGAGTTTGGTGAGATCTACAAATTTGTAGTTTGACTTTTTTATTTGAGGTTGTTCGGATGTCTGAAAATGTATTGTGAAGTCTCAGGTCTATTTGGATAAGTGAATTTTTAAAATTTCTAAACGATCTTGGATGGAGACAAAATATATATGAAAGTTGTAGATTCAGATGAGATGTATGATTTTCTAGTTGACAATTTGTTCATTTGAGCTCATCTATGGTCATAAATATGGTTTATTAATTAGGACGACAGTAGTCACGATAGAATAGCATTTGCTACCAAAGACAACAATTGTTACTAGGTAAGATTAGTTCTAAATGATGGGGGGTCATTAGTGATGGTTTTAGAACCGGTACCAATAACTACTCTCATTAGTAACATTAAATTGGTGTCGGTTCCAAAACCGACACCTATAATAAGGGATTTAGAACAGGTACCAATAAAATTTTTTCTATTTACCGATGATCTAAAAGAGTCTCCCAAGTTTTTTACCAAAATTCAACATATTACCAGCCGGAAAGAAGTAAGCAATTAGGCGTGTGCAACAAATCCAAACTTTTACTGCCGCGCCGAAAAGATTTGGTTGTTTGTCGGGCTCGAAAAGGCATTGTGTGTAGTTTTTCTCATTCTCATTTGTGTAAACACATAACGGTAGTCGGTAGGGCAAGGCAATGCATGCACCGCGTGCAGAGAAACGCCAGCATACACGTTGCACCCACCTGCAGCCTCTCTCTTCAAAGAAATAATGCAGTACAGTACTAAATGCAGTAGCACGCGGTAGCTAGCTAGCTCCTGCGATGCTGCTCCCCCGAACAGACTGCCAGGTGCAACGTACTAAGCGACCGTATCACGAGGGTCCGATACGCGTCACACGACACAGGCGACTCCTATAAATGCAACCTCCGGCTACTTCCCGCCAAAAGCTGGAGTTGTTTGAATTCTGCCGACATAATAGTTTTCTGGATCTCTCTCTCCATTTCATGCAGGCCAACGGTACGTCGCCGGCGCCAGTGGAGAGGAAGTACAGGGGCGTGCGGCTGCGGCAGTGGGGGAAGTGGGTGGCGGAGATTCGGCTGCCCAACAGCCTCAAGAGGATATGGCTGGGATCCTACGACTCGCCGGAGAAGGCGGCGCGGGCGTTCGACGCCGCCTTCATCTGTCTCCGCGGCGGCGAGGCCATCGCCGGCCTCAACTTCCCCGAGTCGCCGCCCACCGTCGTTGCCCGCACTAGCGACCCGCGGGAGGTGCTCGCCTACGCGACGTCGCATGCTAACCGGCTGGGATGCCACCATTGCACAGGAAGAAGCAGCTCTGGTGGAGGAGGAGACGGCTAATCAGTTCTCAGACGTGGTCAGGGCAAATGCGGCACCGCCGCCGCCGCCGGTGCAGGTGGCAGGTGGGAGTTTTGATTGGTCGCAGCTGCCGCTCTACTCGCCAATGACAACCCCAAGTGCAGAGCATTGGGAGGAAGATAATGTCGAAGCTACTACTTTGGAGCTTCGATTTCTAATCCTCCACTTCATACGTTTATGACTTGAATCCTCAATCCTCGATTCTTGGAGATAGATGACGTTCCATCTCTGTTTGTTGACGAGATTTTTTGAAATCTACCTAGTACCTTTCTTTTTATAACTCACTTTGTACCTATTATACATTATTAGAATATAGTATAAGGTTAAGCGAAGTGTAGCTCAACTTGCCATTGTGGTGGAAACCTGCACGCCCACCCGGGTTAAAGTCCTACACTTGATACGGGTGTCCGCATTCATGGTGTTAGTGGTGTTCACATTTTGCAGTAGTAGACAATATACCAGTGGTGAATTCGTCAATTTCAAAATATGTCGATTCAGTCTTTTGGAGGTACCTATAAGGGTAGGGTGTACGCGTGTGAGTTCAAATATGCCAACCCAGTTTTTCGCCTTTTGGAGGTGCTTACTGGGGTAGGGTGTGCAAGTGTGCGTTCAGATATGCCAACCCAGTTTTTTGGAGATGCTCATAGAGATAGAATGTGTGTTTATGCGTTCATATATGTGCATTTTTAGCGCCTAAATTCATGCTGTGTTTGTAAAAGAAATAAAGAATAAGGTTAAAATAGAGCTCTTTGTGTTCGAGTTGAGATCCTAAATTAGTTACTCTTATATGTTGAATTCAATACTTAGAAAAAAAAAGGAAAGATCAATGTCATTGACTACAAAGCATTTAAAAGATTGACCATTGAATTCTCGGGAAAATTCAGGCACAATGTACTATTGTATTCTGCAATCGAGTAGTGTACCACTTTGACCACTATATATTGTAGTATATGGTCAGTTACTAAACTTATTTATCTGTGTCACGTAGGTCTTAAAACTCTTAAAATACATATTTAGGTCCAAGAACTTGTTAAATTATGTCCTTTGTATACCCTTTGATCACTATATTAATTCCATACATACTTGAGCTACAACCTTTATCAACCTTTTGAACTTGAAAGCTAATAGTACCATATTGAAGAGTGTGCAGAAGATTTTAATTACATTAGATATGCACATAATATAATTGGTGTTATAGTTTCCTAAACATTACTTGAGGAACCAAGCCATAATTTATAGGAGATATATATAGTATCCCGCTACTCCCTACGGATTAAAAATAATTATCGGTTTGGATAATGGCACATTCTTAAAAAAATAACTGTGACCAGTATTTTTCTATTACAATAATCCCTAGTTAATTTATATATACCTATACATATATGTATATATGTATGTATATATATGTATGTATATATGTATCTATATATATGTATGTATATATATATATATGTGTGTGTGTGTATATATATATATATGTGTGTACACACACACACACACACACACACACACACACACACACACACATATATATATATATATATATATATATATATATATATATATATATATATATATATATATATAGTGAATCTATTCTACACCCCCTCTCCTATGGGTCAAACCTACCTCCCCCACCCACCCTAGGGCCCAAAACCCCCCTCCTACCTTGGTCAAAGCGTCCTCCCGCCGGTAAAACCCGCCCACCACTCCCTCCCCCGCCCACCACTTTGCTGCTCTCGTCTTGCAGGAGTCGTGCAGTAACAGGACGGTCATCGTGCAGTAACAAGACAACATTATCACAGTAACAATGTCCAAAAGTAGCCATGATGGATCTAGTTTCGTTAAGCGTTTTTTATGAACTTCATGGTGCAAACGGTTTGGAAATACAAGGTATGATGTGAGAGATATTGCTCTCTAAAGATTGAGATTTACCTCTTTTTTGTCCTCGTCTCACTGGAACAGCGTAGTAACGTGATAGCCAGTGTATAGTACCACAACTGCTTTCTGCAGTAACGACGTTAAAAAATAGTTATGATGGTTCTAGTTTCGTCAAGAACTTTTTTTACGAACGCCATGATGCAAATGGATTAAAAAAAGTAAGACATGACATGTACGTTACTACTCTCTAAATATTAAGATTTAAAATATTTTAGCTCTAAAAAACATTACTACCGTAGTAACATTGTTACTATGCATGTTCTCTGTTACTACAAATTTTGCCATGTTGTTACTGCCAAAAGTGCGGTAACAACCTATAAATTTAGCAGGAACAACCTACTGATTTTGCAGTAACGTATCATGTTAATACCCTTCTGGAATAATGTTACTACTGACTCATAGTAACAATGTGTAATTATTACAGTAACATAACTGGTTATCACATAATTTGAATAGACATACAAAGCATGCAAACAATGTTTTCTATTCACAAATTGTCATATGGTGATTTGGTTAAGAGAGCTTGCCATGCATCATGAGATCATGGGTTCAAGTCATAAATTCATCAATTTATTTTTAATTTTTATAAAAAAGAGAAAATAATTGAAGGAAAAATGAGAGTATAAAAAAGAGAAAATAATAGAAGGAAAAATGAGAGATGGGAAGGAGAGAAAAAATCGGGAGGAGGAGGAGCGACCGATGGGGAGGGATCCCGATCGTGATGGGGAGGGATCCCGATCGTGAGGGGGGGAGGAGGAGAGGACGGGGAGAAGGAGGAGCGATCGGGAGGGGGGAAGGGGGAAAATCGCTGGGAGGGGGAGTTGGAGGAGCGATCGGGAGGGGGGAAGGGGGAAAATCGCTGGGAGGGGGAGTTGGAGGAGCGATCGGGAGGGGGGAAGGGGGAAAATCGCTGGGAGGGGGAGGGAGGGAGGAGCGACGGGCGGCAGGAGGCAGGAGAGAGAGAGATCAGGAGGGAGTGAGGGGGGAGGGGAGGGGGTGTAGAATAGAAGAGTCATATATATATATATATACACACACACACACATATATATATATACACATATAATACATGTATACATATATATATATATATATATATATATATATATATATATATATATATATATATATATATATATATATATATCATTCACCGCACCCTATATTGTTCCTTTATGCTTTATAGGGTGTCCTTCTGGATTCCTTCTTGAGTAGTCTTCTGAAATCTTCGTTTATTCTTCTTCCACGCAAATTAGTAAGATTAATAAAAGAGAGGGTAAAATAATTAAAACCTCTAGAATTACCATTAGAAGAAAGTTACTTTATCATTGAAACTGATGCACCACAACACGGTTGGGGTGCTATATTAAAGCAAAGACCTACTAAATTTTCCGCTAAATCAGAAGAAAAAATATGTAGATATGCTTCTGGAAGTTATAAATTAAAAACTGTCAATAATACAGATAGAGAGATCATGACAATAATCAATGCAATCAATGCCTTTAGGTTGTACTTAGGATTTAAAGAATTCACGGTTAGAACCGATTGTGAAGCCATTTGTAGGTACTATAATCAGCTAAATAGCAAGAAAAGCTCAACTAGAAGATGGGTTTTATTTGAAGATATTATAACAGGAAACGGCTATAAAGTTATATTTGAACATATTAAGGGGAAAGATAATAATTTGCCTGACATGCTTTCTCGTTTACCTGAATTGCAGATATGAAAAGATAATAAAAAATATAAGTAGAAAATACCACTTATACTTCAGACAATATACTTGTTCAAAAACACTATTTATTCGGCTAATTACTATTCAGTTTACTGTTTATTCGGCTGATTACTATTCAGTTTACTGTTTGTTCGGCTGATTACTATTCAGCTTACTGTTCAAATTACTGTTCAATACTGTTCACTATAATTCATAACTTTCAAGTAATATATAGAAATTTTTAAAAACCAAGAAACCAAGATAGAACAGATAAAGAGGAAAGAGCAAGATAAGCATGGCAAAGAAGAGCAAAATCTTGGTAAAATTTTAAGTGAAGAAGAGCAATGGGCAGAGAATGAAAGATTATTTCTTGAAAGTTATGAAGAAGAAATTAATCTAATAAATGAGATGGAGAATATAGAAAATGAAATAGACAATGCAGAACAATATAATGATTTTATAAACACATTAGATGAAGTAGGGTTACATAATCTTGATAATGCAATGGAAGCTATGGAAGTGGACTTAGGAACAGGAAAGAGAAAAAGATATGGAGAAGGTACTGTGAAAAACGAAGGAGAAAGAGAAAGACCAGCTAGGGCAGCAGGAAAATGGCCCCCTGATAGAGAAGAATTTTCATATAACTATATACCAGGACAATATAGGCACATGGGTACTAAGAGAAGAGACTTTGAGAAGCCTGTTAAATTTCAAAACCAGAGGAGTGATGGTGCTATATTAAATTTAGCCGCACATGACCCTATTGATTGGCCTAATATTATTAGTATTGGGAAAGGTTTAATAGTTCAAAAATATATACAAAACCAGCACAATATAGGAAGTAAAGTTGAAGATATGATAACCTACATAGAAACATTTTTAGGTGAATCTGCTAAGGTTCTATGGGAACAATGGGTTGAAAAGAATCCTAATAATTATGAAGAATTGAAAAGAGCTGGTAGCAATCCACATAATTTTGCAAATGTTATATCTAACATTATTATAGCTGAAGATCCGGAATTAGGTTATACAACTTTGCAGAATGAAAGGTTAAGAGAAATAGAAAAATTAACGTTAACAAGTTGGAAAGGCATAAAAGAATTCTCCCAACATTATTTATATAATGCTACAACTGCTAATCAATATATTCTATCATAGAATATAATAAACCGTATGTAATATAATAAACCCAGAATTAATGAATATGTAAGCTTGCTTCGTATTATATATATATGTATATATATGTATATATATGTATATATATATATATATGTATATATATATATATATATATATATATATATATATATATATATGTAAGCTTGCTTCA